AGTATTAACCATCAATGGATTAAACAATGCTTAATATATTTTAATATCCCACTTGTAGTAATTAATAGTATATTATATATATTAAATAATACATGTCTTAATTTATATTATAATCAAGAAAGTGATAGTATTATTAATGTAGAAAGATGAATAATACAAGGTGACAGCCTATCTCCACTTTTATTTGTATTATCTATTGACATACTATCTAAACAATTAGATAAACAAATAAACAAATTAAATATTAAAATGAATGAAGAAGAAAAACAAGTCAAGTTAAACCACATATTATATATGGATGATTTAAAGATAATGACTAACAGCCTCGATGAAATGGAAAAAGCACACAAATTAACTAAAGAAATATTTAATGCAATAGGATTAAAAATTAATGTAGAAAAGAGTGGGATAATGACTAATATTAATAGTCAAATAAATGGTGAATTAGCTGAACTACCAAGAGTAACTAATGATAATCCTTATAAATATCTTGGTATTGAAATAGGAGATAAAGTAAATATTAATAAATATTGTACAAGAATATTAAATGATGTATCTTCTATTTTATCATCATTAAACACTATGAAATATAGCAGCCTCAATACAATAAGAAATATTAATAGTGATATAATCTCCAAATTAAGATATGGATTTTGTATTGTCCCATGGAAACTAGGAGAATTAGAGAAGATAGATAAACAAATAAGAAAATCATTAATGCAACTCCAATTATATAGTAGAAATATCCCAAAAAGTAGATTATATGTTAAAATAAATGAATTGGGATTAGGATTAATGTCAGCAAGAGATGAATGTGGTAAAGAATTAATAAGAATATATTTAAAATATAAGTGGAGATCAAACACAGTAATAGGAGAAATGATAGAAACAATAAAAGAAAATCCAAATTGAATAATTAAAAGAATGGAGAAAGTATTTGGTAAGAAGATTAATTTTAATGAATTAATGAATATAATAGAATTAAATGAAAGAAAGCACAATGTAAAGGAAGTATTTGAATTTGTAAATAATGAATTAAATGATAGATATTTAAATGAATGGAAAGAAAAGAAATGTGGTGAATATATAAGATGTGCAAATGGCACTTTCAATGATAAGAAATTAACAGTAGCCACTTGGAGGTCATTAAATATAAAAAGAAATGCATTCCTCCAAGTAGTAAAGATGCAAGAAGGAGTAACTATGACAGGAAGTATTAAATCAAAATTACTCCAAAATGATGTTTTAAAATATTGTAAACATTGTCATAACACAATTGCATCTATTAGTCATATATTGTTATGATGTAATGAAAAAGAATCAAATATTAAAACATGATTATGTTTGTAAACAAATATTTAAACATTTATTAATTACACATTTTAATGAATTTGATGCAATTGATTTTAATAATACTCCAAAATGTATTAATAATGATGAAATGGTTATAACTTACAATAAAGATTTATTGGTTAGTGACAATTCATTCCATGCTAGAAGACCAGATATATAATATCAAAATATTACAGAAAAGAAAGGATATATTATAGATGTTGTTATATGTCAAGATAATAATTTAGAATTAAATTATATTCATAAAATAAATAAGTACAAAGAATTACAAGAGAAAATAAGAAACAATAGAGAATTAATATATGTAGAAATAATACCTGTAATATTATCAATAAATGGATTAATACACAAAGAGTCTGTAAGAAGATTAAAAACACTAAAATTACAATTACACTTCCCCAAAATCCTACGAACAATAATAATAAAAAATATGAAAGATTTGATGTTTTACACATTCAATTCTGGCAGCACATTAGAAGAAGAACAATCTAATGCGAGTATGTCAGAAATGAACTCTATTACACCAATAGAGCATATTGAAGAAACTGAAATAATCACTTCTCAGTATGAAGAAAATCCAATTGAGGATATATCTATTAATTGACCTTTTTTTGTTATTTATTATTCTTTCATTTTTACACCTTTCTTTCATTTCTTTAATTGGATTTTGTTTTTAATTACTTCGTCATTTGTTTTAATGTCTTTTCTTCAATATCTTTCGTTTTTTCTTTAAACTCTTCTTTGATTCTTTCAATTATCTTTTTCTTTTTGATTGAATATATTTCTTGAAGAATATCATACCATCTTTTCCTTTTATCTTCATACTTTTTGAGTATTTCTTCATACTCTCCTTTATTTCATTCACTTCTTATTCTTTTTATTCTTCTTTGTATATCATTTATTGTTATTCGTTTATATTTGTTATGGGTGTAATCTTTATTATTATTGTATTTACCCTGTTTCTTACTTGTTTTTCTTTGCGTCTTTCTTTTTCTAATTCATTTTTTCCTTGGTATTTCATTCACCATTATTATTATAATTGTTATGCCATTTATTGCTATTGATATTCATTCTTTTTTATTGTATGACATTAGATTTCTATGTCTTGTTTGCTTTACTTTACAAAACTCAAGAGTTTTATCCAATAGCCATGGCATTAAAATTTGTTTTACTCTGAATTGGAAAAGGGTGTATGGTTTGAATAATTTAAAAAACTAATATGGCTTTTAAAAATAAAATAGTAAATCACATAAGAATTGCAAAAAGAAACAGTCAATAACAGTTAATGAATTTCTTGGACGTCAATAATAAAGTTATTTTCTAATTCCAAGCTTTGACAAGAGTCATTTGGTGAAAGAATATATCCGTCAAAGATAAATTTAAGACGGTCCATTGGTTTATTAATTTTATTAGCGTATTTTTCAAATAATTTTTCTAATTTATCAATCTAAAAAATATAAATATTTCATATTTTTATTCATATTTAAACAAAACAAACAGGGCTAATTTTAAATAAGTGAATTTCATTTTCAAATCTTAATTTCAATTTGATGTATTGTGAAGAATCAATTGAAGATCTATCAAGAGTAGCGTCAAGACAGTCTTGATCTCCAATAGTATAATCTGGTAGTGTTTTGTCATTATTTAATAACATTCCCATAAATTTAAGTGTTAGTGCTGGAGCTGCACTTTTTAAATACTTTTCTTTTAATTCCAATATCGTTGCCTTTTTGGATATTTGAATTTGAGTTTTTTCTTTATCTCGTAAAATATACACACTAATCATATCCTTCTTATTACCAAACTCTTGTTCTAGTTGTGACTTAGTACTTGGAATATATGATAGATGGTAATGATTTTCTTCTGAAGCATCAAGATCAATGAATGTCATTTGTATGGTTTGGTTTAAAAAATTTTTTAGTATTGAGTAAACCCTATTTCAACTTCTTCTTCATTTTTTTCAAATCAATATCAACCAAAAATAATTTTTTTTTCAATTTCATTTGATGTATATATTCCTTTATGGTTAAAATGCCTAAGTTATTTAAATTTAATTTGCTTTTCTCTAAGGTTTTTATGAAGAAAAAAGTAATTGATTCTGGTTTAATTCTTTGATGTATTTCTGTTAAATGAAAGAAAGTCCATAAAATACAAAAAGAATTAATTTTTAAAAAGAAAGATTATTTGAAATTATTACTGTAAACTCTTAATTGTTTTGTCTTATGTTCAAATAGAATTGGATATCATAAGAAGATTTGAACTAAAAAAGTAACAAATAAGCAAATAGTACTTTTTTAATGAGTTAACATAAATGGTTTTTTGTTTTTATTCTTATTTTGCGATTTATATGATATTTTGAGTTATATCCTGGCTAATTTATAATGTTCATAACTTTTACTATTTAAACCAACTTATCTGTTTATTTTATTACATTTTCTTTATGGATATTAAAAAAAAGTAATGTTTAACATAATTTTATCTAAAAGTTTGAGAGATAGAAAATAAAGTGCTAATATTCTTTTTTTTTCTGTGTTGAATAATACATGTTTGTATATTCAAAAAAATAAATCTAAACAGAGTTATGTAACTTAAAAGAAGAAAAAAAATCAAAGAATAGATTCAAGACTATTTTATTTAAAATAGAAAGAATAAAAATCAATATATGTTCTTTGTATTTTTCTGAAAGATTAATTTTGGTGAATTATTTTTGTCAGAGAATAAACTTTGTTTAATTCTGATAAATTAAAAAGGTTAAATACAATATTATAAAAAGTTATAGCACTAAGAAAAACACAAACATTGAAAAAAGTAAAAATTAGAATATTTATAACAACTTTAAGAAGAAGAGAGGAAGGTTTAAAGAATTATCTATTCTTAATAAAGAGTTCTATTTTTATTATTTGTTTTATTTAAATTCAATTATTATTGAATTAATCAAACTTTTAATAAGTAATTTCTATTTTCTTAACAAAAAAAAATAAATAAGAATCATTTGAACAAAAGTATTATCAAAAACTAAATAAAGAAGAAAAAGTAATTAATTAAGTATTAATAGAATTTTCATCTATTCTTCCTAGCTCAGGGGAGACTAATCCCATCCCTGAGCTTATTAAAAAAGAGTAATCTCTTTGTTAAACCTATTCTTTATGTTTTTCTTGCAAAATGAGGAAAGCACTTCTTTGTTTTATTTCTTCTTATTAAGGTTTTTCAAACTTCTTCTGCTTAATTCTTCTTTTTAAGCCTTTGTTTGTTTTCTGCCTTAATTTTAAGTAATTTCATTTTTCTTATTTTATGAATGGGAGAAGGAATCATTTTATTACTACTGTATTACTTTGACTAATTTTCTTTTTAGTCTTACTTTGACTAATCTTCTTTTAGTCATACCCACACTTCAGTAGATTCTTATATTACATCCATGTAATATTCTACTGTATTCTCTTGCTGCACCCTTTGCAGCATTCCCTAATACATTCCTAATTCAAAGGCACCGTCATAACCAGATAATAACTGGGAGAGTCGAAGAATGAATTTGTACTAGGGTTTATGTGTGGTGTTTCAGACGTGCCACCTTCGATCTTATCAAAAAAAAATTAAAAAAAAAAGAAAAGAAAAATAGAGAAAAAACTATAAATAATGAAAATATTACAATGAATGTTGATGAAAAACAAAAACACAGGAATATTAAAGTGTTGTTGTTAGGGGAGTCAAGTGTTGGTAAAACATCAATTACTCAACGATATGTTGATAACATGTTTGAGGATATTTATTTGTCATCAGTTGGAGTTGATTTTAAGTTTAAAGAAATAAAAAGAGATAATGAATTAATAAGACTTCAAATATGGGATACTGGTTTGTTTATTTAAATTGGATTTATTAAACAAATAATTAGTGCTTATTGATTAGCTGGTCAAGAACGATTCCAGAGTATTGCTAAGTCTTATTATCGAAATGCAGATGCTGCGTTTATTGTTTTTGATATTAACAATGAAAGTTCTTTCAAAAAAGTTCAATTTTGGTATAATGAAATATCACAAGAAGAGGCTTATCAACTTGTTATTCTTGTTGGAAACAAGTGTGATTTAGAAATGAAAGTAACTGATGAATTAGTTAAGTCTTCTTATCCTGACTCTATTTATTTGAAAGTATCAGCTAAAACAAATGAAAATATTTCATTATTATTCGATACTCTAATTAATTGTTATTTAAGGATGGTAATTCAACCAATAGAAAAATTAGCTGAGCCAGAAACAATTGACATAATAACTTCACCTTCTTTGAATTCCACTAAACATTCTAATTGTTGTTAATTTATTTATTCTATTTCATTTAGTTGTTAAATAAACTTATTATAACTTCTTATGTATTACTTAATATGCTTTGTAATTTATATTATCAAAATATATTAAAGTAACTCTCTTATTTCATTGGAATACCTAGATGTATTATTTATATTCAACTCATAATAATAACTTTAAAAAAACTAAATATTCCTGTGTTATTTTTAAAATAGGTTCTTTTCTTTTTTTTATTATGAATATCTATAGTTCTATTCATATAACTATGAACCTTCATACACAAAAATATATTTCTTACATCTTTAAAAGATATTGACAAAGTTATCTCTTTTTAAACTTCTTCTTAGATATGTCTTAAGTTAAAACATATAACAATAAATAATAATAAAATCTTTTATTTGATAGAGGTATGAATTGAATAAAAATATCTAATTATACAATCGAAATATGATTATTATATGTACAATTCAATGATAAAAACTTATTACTTTATTAGGACAGTTAGTCGTTATTATTCATTGTTCAAATGAAATATAATAATTTTATGTTATTTCTATAAACATGTTTTGTTCTAATAAAACAAATATTCATTTATTCAGCATATAGTCTTCATTATCAATTAGTTTATTAATTCATAAATATGTTTAAAGTTATTGCTTTTTTGATATTCTATATTTATAGAGATTATTTGATTTTAAATATTGACTGAAGAAAAAAAAAACGGAATTGTTTAACTTCTTGCTTTGAAATAGAACAAGAAAATATATAAATTAAAAATTCTAACAGTGACAAATAATTCTAATTTAGTGTAGATGCTTCAGTAAGAAGTATAACAACTAAATAAACTGTTTTTGATAATAACAATAGAACCAGTATTTGTGGTATAGTTTTAATGAAATAAATAATAAAACATAATACTTTATATACTCACAAAGTACGTAGAACAAAAAATATAGCAGAATTTACAAACTAACTTGAGTTAAAACAAGAGTCAATAAAAAAAATGTAATTTATAACAAAAATATTTGAGAAAGAAAAAAAAAAAGAAAAAGGGTTATAAAAATAGGAACAGGGTTATATAGATAATTAAAAAAAAAGAGAAAAGAGAAAAAAAGAACTTATAAACTAAAGAAACCAGTATTAACTGTTACTAATGACTGATCCAACTAACCAAATTCCAGACTATGTTCCAACCACTGAAACTAAAATGGATATTGAACCAGCAAACAAAGATAATTATGTAGGAACAGTTGCATTTAGTAATATGAATCTTAAAAAAGAAATATTAATGGCTATTACTGATTGTGGATTTGAACATCCATCTGAAGTTCAATCACAAGTTATTCCTAAAGCATTATTAAAACAAGATATTTTATGTCAAGCTAAATCTGGAATGGGTAAAACAGCTGTATTTGTTATTTCAATTTTAAATCAAGGACTTTGTCTTGGAGATTATGTATCAGCATTAGTTATTTGCCACACTCGTGAACTTGCAGTACAAGTACAAAAAGAATTTGATAGAATGAAAAAAAGACTTTGTGAAGCAACAGGAAAAGAAATTACAACAGGTACATTTGTTGGTGGTTTTGATGAAAAAAAAGATGTTGAATTTATTAAAACAAATAAACCAACTATTGTAATTGGTACACCAGGTAGAATTGCATCTCTTGTTAGACAAGGAGCATTAAATTTAAGTAAACTTGATACATTTGTCATTGATGAATGTGATAAAGTTCTTGGATCAGCAAATGAAATTGATATTGGAGAAATATTTATTTCAACACCAAAAGAAAAACAAGTAATGATGTTTTCAGCTACTATTTCAGAAGAAAATAAAACTATTTGTAGAAAATATTTAAAAAATCAATTAGAAGTCTTTATTGATGATGGAGAAAAATTATTCCTTCATGGTCTTCATTTATACTTTAAAAAATTAGGAGATAATGATAAGAGAAAAACATTTATGGATATTATTGATTATATTGATTTTAATCAAGCCATTGTTTTTGTTGAAAATAGTGATAGATGTCGTGTTCTTGTTAAGAAGTTAAAACAAATTGGATATCCATGTGGTATTTTATATGGTAGAATGGATCAAGAAATTAGAGAGAAAGAGTATCAACGATTTAGAGATGGAGAAAGTAGAGTTTTAGTTTCAACTGATTTATGTGGAAGAGGAATTGATGTAGCTAAAGTAAATCTTGTTGTTAACTTTGATATGCCTAATGATTCTGATCAATTCTTACACAGAGTAGGAAGAGCTGGAAGATTTGGAACTAAAGGAGTTGCCATTTCATTTATTGATACTGATGAAGATGAGAAAGTTTTGAAAGAAGTCCAATCAAGATTTGCTGTTCAAATGGATGAATTACCAAGCTCATTGAAGGATATTCCAACAAGTTACTACAAATAACTTGAAACTACAATTGACTGCTTTTTATTTTTTAAATGAAAAGAACTAAAGAATTTGTTTTATAATATTTTTCTTAATGAAATTGGAGGAAGATCAAGTCTCGGTGGAAGTGAGAAACATCCATAAAAACACCCTGGTCCATATTTTTGAATTGAATTAACATTTATCTCTTGAAGAAGATGGCACTGAGAAAAACACCCTTTTGGTAAAACTGTTAATGAAGTTGGCAGAATGACTTGGGTTAATTCTTCACATCCCTCCAAACTTGATATCCCAAGAATTAAGTTTGCATTTGTGAATTTCAGACTATTTAATGATTTACAATTACAGAATGAATGATAACCTATATAACTTAATGTTGATGGTATTTTCATATGACTAAGACTTAAACAATTTAAAAAACATTCATCTTCTATTCTTTCTAAATGATGATTCATTTTAATTCTTTGTAATGAATTACATTCTGCAAAACATCGTTTAGAAAGTATTTTTATTGATGTAGAAAGTGTAATTGATGTTAAATACCTACAACGAAAGAATGCTTGTTCTTCTATATAATGAATATTATTAGGTATCGTCATTAATCTTATTAATGATGATTTAAAACAATCTTTACCTATACCCTTTACTTCAAAGTCTCTTGGAATTTCATATCCATAGCTTTTCATGTCATTTTTTGTGAACTTGACTTGAAGGTATTGTGTATTTGGTTCTTTACCAATGAATGTGTCATATGAAACTTCACAATGAATAACATACTGTAAAACGTCTTCATAAATTATATCATTTGAAGAATAAATATGTTGTGTTTCAAGTGATATAAACATTGCTCGATCATTTTGACTTAATAAAGGAAATGGATTAAAGTGATACAGATCAACTATGTCATGATATTTTTTACAAACACTCATAACATTAACATAATCATTTCTTGTTTGAAAGTATTTTCCAATAATTAACATACTATGTCTATCAACCCCATTCATTTATTTTCTTAGTTCTTTAAAAAAAAATAATAACCATTATACTATGCCATCTACCTACCAAAAATGTCTTAAAAGAATTGTATTAATTATGTTCTTAAACAAAGAATTTCCCAATTACAACGAAACAATGAATAACGAAAAATAATTTTTGTGGTATTTATTTCAAGAAAAAAGATTTTAAAAAAAAATATAAAAACTAAAAAAATTCACATGACTTTAACGACATTCTTCTTGTTAATTATTGTTACATTTGGTAAAAATACAATGGATTTATGTGTTGTTCAAAAAATGACAATTGGTACCGATGGAAAAATTCCAACAAATGTTTTTTCTGCTGATAATGGTATTATTTATGAAATCCAGAAAGATAATCAATACTGTTATGGATATGTATCATTAAAAAATCCAAACTCAACTAGATGTTATTCTGATAAATTTATTTGGTGGGGAGAGTATGGACTTGGAACAGTTGGAATTAAGGTTAATAGTGACACTTTTACCTCTGATAAAATCCAAGAAAAAACAGACATTCAATATTTTCCAACAGGAAAAGGAATTACCACAATGCTTAAAGTAACTGTTGAATGGGAGAATTTTAATAAATACGCTGCTGACAATAAAACATTACTTAAAATTTCTCAGTATGCTCGTGGTATAACAGTATTATCAACGAAAAGTAATAACTTAATGATGGTTATTTCATTTGTTACAGACGATGGAAAAGGAAGTACAGGTGATGTAATGTTTGGGTACATTAGTTTTAGTGAATCAAAACTTTACATTAAATACGATAAATCATTTTGTAGTGATATAACAACTAATTTTGTTGAATCAAATCTTTCTGAAATGAATGCATATGGAAATGCAATTGCTTTTGGATCTCCTAAAACAAGAGCAGATGAGTTTAGTACTTTAACAAAAAATATTCTCATCATGTCTATAGACGATGATACAACTAATCCACATTTCCCATTTTCTTTTACTGATAAAGTTTTTGTCCCATCTCCAACACAGAATTTAGCAGCTTTAGGTAAAGCAATTGAAATAAGTAATACATATTTAATGTATTCTGACCCTTTATCTAATAGAGGAATTGTTTATATATCAAGAAGAATGGAAGGTGATACTTTTGATTTTCGAGCAACAATTAACCCATTACCACGATGGGGAAATTATCAACGATTTGGAGCTTATATGAGAGTTATTGAATTGAAGGATACAACTGAAGTTTATGCTGTCGCACCATCTGCTTGGGTTCATAGTGATACTAGAAGAGCAGCTGCTGCTGGTTCAGAAAGTCATGAGATAATTGGTATAATTTATCAATTTTCAATTTCAGGAACTCATTGTGAACCAAAGAATTATTTCTTTATTAATTCTCCAATTACTGATGGTGTAATGAACTCAACAATATCATCTCTTATTACTATATCTGACCGTGCTTATGTAACATTAACTAATTACCAAGGATTGTATAGATTAAATTGTGACCAGAAAACTCAGATCCATCTTTAAAAGTAATTCAATTACTATTAACTATTTCTTTTTATTTGTTTCGTTGACACATACCTTCTTCAGTACATGAATATCCAACCTGACATGTTCCACAATAA